GAGATTTGGCTAACAAGCTCTTGGCGTTGATCATCTTTATATAGGTCCCTGCAATACGATCTCCATGCCTCTGCTATGTCTTCTCTGTTTGTTCTCAGGTTCCAGTGTTATCTTCAATGGCCGAAGTTCTGGCTCTGAAGTCTCTTGTCAGGTAGCGTATTTTTCTAAATAGATCTCTCGGCTGATTATTCTGACCATGTCTCTCAATTTCTTTGCATATACTTTGATAGTACTGTTTTTTGTCGGCCTTACATCTTCGTTTTATTTCTTTATTGAGGTTTCTTAAACTAGCTTTTTCCCTTTCACTATGTACACCACTTTTACAAAGATTTCTTCTATTCTCAATTATTTTAAGAGTTTTATCTGTTATCCAGTGTTTCCGTTTCACCGGATTATTTTTCTTTGAGCGATCCACTGGTGTTGTTACGCAATGTTTAACAGTCTCCCATATATCTTGTGATGTTCCGTTATGAATAGAAGGCATACTTTTCTGTACTTCCTGTAGAAGGTCAGCGCATTGTTGCTATATTCCTGTTATCATAATGTGGCTTATCCGCGAACTAAAATTGCTTACTTGGGCCTCAAGTGTCAGCTCTGAGCTAGGCTCAGTTCGCCGACTTGGTGCTCAAGGGGTTGGGCCCTACGTGCCCGGGTTTTTAATGGTTTTTGTTAATATTTTTGTGTGGCTTGAGTCGGTTTTTGTTAGTAGTTTTTTGATTTTTTTGGTGGCCGAAGCCGTTCTTTTTATTGTTTTTTGGATTTTTTTGTAGGATGCCTGAAACATAAAATCAGAATTAGTGCATATTAATATAATAAATTATCTACTTAAAATTAACTGGGTCCACGCTGTACGTTGCGATTGTCCACGAGTGTTATGAGTTGTTTTTTGAAGTGTTTTCTCTCTGGGGTTTTGTTTTCTCTCTGGTGTGATTGTTGATTTTCTCTCTATATAGTATATAATTTTATTCTACTATTTGTTGTTTGGGTCTTTTGTGCTTGCATCTGTGGAAAGCGTCGTACCTCATTATTTCTCATAATATGTGGCTGGGGAGGTTCGCAATCTCCGCGAGTTTTGTCCTAGCTTTTTCTTGCATTGTGTCAGTCAGTCTGATTTGTTGTAGTTCTCTAAAGAGGAATCTTTCTACTACGTATCTCGGTAGGTCGACTGCATTTCTTAGGGTGTTGTTATGTGCCGCTTGTATTTTCTTTTTTGATGTATTGCATATGTGTCCCCATGCGAGAGATGCATATGTTAGTATAGGAAGAATTATACTATTTATTAATATTATTTTTGTTTTTAGTCTAAGTTTGCTTTTTCTTCCTGCTAGGCCTCTTATTGATGCTCTTGTCATGTTGGCTTTTTGTACTGTAGCTTCTACATGTTTGCTAAACCGTTTGCCTTTGTCCATGATTACTCCGAAGTATTTTGTTTCACTTTTCCACTCGATGGGATTGTCTTGCACAGTTACCTGTTCTTCTGGTTGTTGGTGCCTCTTTTCGAAAAGTACAGGCTGTGTCTTTTTGAAGTTCATAGCGATTTTCCATTTTAAGACCCATTCTTCTATGTCGTCTAGCGCTGTTTGTAAGTTGTTTACCGCTATATCTACATTTCTGTGTTTGGTCGCTATCGCTGTGTCGTCGGCATAGAGGCATAGTAGTGTACCTGGTGTTCCAGGTATGTCTGCTGTGTATATCGTGTACAGTAGAGGTGACAGTACTGCTCCTTGCGGCACTAAAGCCTCCGGTTTCCCGAGTTCGGATAGGACTTGTCCTATCCGGACTCTGAAACTACGATTGCTCAAGTACCAAGAGATCAGTATTGTCATTGCTCCGCTGTAACCGTATCTTCTCATTTTGTAGATCAGTCCTTTATGCCAGACTCTGCTTTGCTTACATCTAGGAAGGTCGCTCCTGTAAAATGGTACCCAGGCTAGCTAACTCATCTCAGTGATCAATAGAACGACGTTTATGCTCACAAAAACCAAATAAATGAATTGATTCTTCTAGTCTAAAGTATTTTCTGGTCCTTTCTTTAAGAAATATTTTTATTTTTTAATTCATGGATTTGTGTTTCGTCTCAAAAGCGTCTTTACATAAATTAGAAATTAAAAACTTACTTAGATAAAACATACCCACATAAAATATTCTAACATGATGCATGAAAAAAATCTAAGAATTTAAACATAATAAACTTGATCTGATCAAAATTGGGCCACTTCAATGGCATCTTCCTTCGCCACGGGAAGGTCTTTCAATGTACAGGCCGCCGGGCGTTGTGGGCAACTGAATAACTGTAATCCATGATAAGAAAATATATGAGCGGTAATGTACTTCAAGCCAAAGAGTAATACGCCCAGTTCTAACATATGGTTCAGAAACCTGGACTTTAACAAAAAGCAATGAAAATATGTTAGGATGTTTCGAAAGAAAAATACTGAGACGAATCTATGGAGCGGTAAATGAAAATGGTGTCTGGAGAAGACGATACAACTTCGAACTCTACAGAATATACCAGGAGCCAGATATCGTAAAACACATTAAGATAGGACGTCTGAGGTGGGTAGGCCATGTAATGCGGATGGAGCAAACCGACCTAGCTAGAAAAACGCTCCTTGATAGACCTATTGGTCAAAGAAGAAGAAGAGGAAGACCCAGAACAAGATTCTTAGATAACATAGACCAAGATATGAGAAATATGGAAATACGTGCTTGGCGGAGGAAGGCGATAGATAGGGACGACTGGAAGAGAATCCTTGGGGAGTCTAGGACCCACACAGGGTTGTAAAGCCAAAATGATGATGATGAATGTACTTCAAGAGTCCAATAGAGTCTGTAAGGCTGCTGTGGTGAGAAGCTGCGACATCACTGTTTAAAGTATGACCTAAATTATGTTCCAAAATATACAAGAGTAAATTCTTTCAACCTAGAATTTACCAAGGATATATCCTCTGGTGTAGTTAAGCGCTGGTATAGGACCACAATAAGATTATAGAATTAGACTAAACGTTAAATCTTCAAGTTATAATATTATTGTTATCATAGAAAGCTGGTGAACAAGGACATCTTTTTTGAGGTAGTTAACTGCAGTAATTACAAAGTATTTCGTGGTGTAAACAGAGGAATTGGTGTGCTGATATTGGTAAGAAGTCATACTACAAGCTTCGATAATCAAGAAGAACCAAGTTCACCTTAAAAAAATGTTTTTTTATGTAAATGTTCAGGAAAAAATTTTGTGGTCTGGGGTGTATATATATGTAACAACCAAGATCTTCTGATGTGCAGCATGTCAGTAAGTAATAGTTAGCACTAAGTTTTACATAGCGGTGAAGAATTAAGATGTATTATTTTGCAACCTTCACAATCTATAAAATCGGTTCCAAAGAAGAAAGTGACATTATCTTCGGTAGATGATGGTCTGTCATGGTTCTGGATGATGGTTCTCTTTGCATGTCCGTACCAAATAAACTGTTTTTGCTGTATTTCTTCTATGATGATGGTTGTTTTTTCTATGATTTGTCTTATTATTTCACTTGTTACACGTATTATTTTCGATATACCTGCTGATTTGCGTTAAAAATATATTTCCAAAACAAGGAGTTTTTGTTCCATTCTCTTAGTGAGTTACCAGATTTAGCATCCATAAAGTACAACGGTAAATACTTTTAAAAATCCTGTTACATATATGTATCTTTTTCTGTTTAGATATAGTTTTTGACCAGAGTAGTGAGTTTAGTGCGTCTATTATTTTTTTTCCCTTATGATTCTTCATTTTCTGTTTGCATCTGTCGATCTTTTTACATCTTTTGCCACCTAGTAGATATATTCGACACATGACGAAATTACCTACATCTTCATTTTCTAAATTTAGTTCATCGTGTTCAGCTCCTCCTATCTACATGTATTTCGTTTTTGTTAAGTTAACATTTAACTTGAATTGGAAATCTTCCTGGTCTTGTGCGATGACTACTGTAATAGTATAACCATTCCAGAACATTATCTCCATTTCTTCAGTGCCTCACTCAGGTAGATTTTGAAGCGTGTTGGAGATAAACTGCAGCTTTCCTTAGTTCAATATTTATGCTAAAATTCTCGTAGAACTGGTCCTAAATCTTTATTTTTGATCGAAGTGTAATATCGAACTTCTATAAGTGTAATGTTATTAAATGAGCTTTCCAGTATTGGCATAGTCTACATAGGGGAGGGGTATTGTATCATAAGCTTTAAGTCCACAAATAATAGATGAGTGGGTCTATCCCTAGCCCTTTTTTGTTTATTTAGTTGGGTTAAAGTGCAGATGTGGTTTATGAAAGATCTCCAGCTCGGGTAATTGTTTCTCAGGGTGTTCCTCCCATCTACCCATTTGTCTTTCAGGACTTCAGAGATCGGTCTTTCCTTTAAAATTATTTCGTGTTCAGGATCATTGGTAAGAACCTCATGTGCTTCATCCACAGTTGATTTTCGTCTGTAACAAGGGACTCTCACAGAGTGTTATGAGCCGGGCCAGCTGAACTCTGGTTTTTTATAGAGGTGTACTCCTCTATCTTCCCGTTTTTTTCCGGGCTTAGGACCGGTTTGATAAATAATAATTGTCTCCTTAAAATTCTAATTCAAAGAATTTCATGACTTTAAAAAATGTACGTAACCATTTGTTCTTTTAAAATATAGGGTAATGATAATGGATTTGAAAAATAAGATAAAGCAATGTTTAATGGTCAGACACCGAAGGTTTTACGTCACTTAAATTACTTTCTATTAACGTTAAAATTAACTTTAAACATAAAACTAAATTATTCAATAAATGACTAATATTAATTTTTTGGATTAAACTGATTTTAATTGCCTAGCGAAATGGCTATATATAAACACTTAATAATGGGCTGAAAATATTTTAATTTGTCTTCATAATAAAAATATAAACGTTTGATCAAAAAATCCCAAGACCTCTCAATAGAGTGGCAGTAAATTTAATAACAGGTATCTAATTGATATATTTGTTGTAGGCGTTGGAATAGTTCTGGTCACTGTAAGCGGAGTAGCATGGAGGCTGACCTCGCACGACTCCTCAACGTGCCGATCTATGTTAGGCTTAGGTAGTACCGAATCTGTGGAAGTTTGTACACGACGTTTCGTTCCCAGGCTTCCACCGGCCTACGGCCGTCCACACCATCCGTACGCCGCTATGATGTACCCCGAGTTCCAGTATAGGCCTCCCCCGCCCAGTTATCAGGCTTCTATGCAGGAATATAGGTTAAGGCTTTTGTTGCTGGAAAGAGGAAACACACCGCAGATACAAAGTGGGATTCAGAACGCCGTGTCGCCTCCTCCGACGTATAGGAGTCAGTCCGGTAGTTTGTTAAGGTAAGATCTAATTGAATCAATCCATGTAAGGTTCTATTTTTGTCCTTTTCTATTCACTAAACGTCTATTTTCTACGCAGCTAAATTCATTCAACCCACGACAGTTCAAAATGGCAGCGTAACAGATTTTAAACATCAAACAGTGCATCACTGATCTACACCGAGAAAACTAATATCTATTTAAATAAATGCGGAAATATGGTAAACGTAAAATAAGATTACAAAAATCAAATTATAATCTTGCATTATTCATCAACTTTTAAATTTTTAAATTTAGAAGGAGGAATTCAGAAAAAAACAATGGAATAAAGTGGACGTACAAAAAAAGCTTGGCACCTTGAGATAGTGATCTGAGAGAGCACGATTAAAATGATAGAAAACTGTTTAAAATTGTCTGTCGCGACCTATGATTTTCTCTTAGATTAACGAAACCGGTTTCGTTAATCTAAGGATTTTCTGAATAGAACCTGAATCTCACTTTTATGATTTACTGAGTATGCCCTGTATATCAGCTTTATTACCTGCACGCCTGTCAAGCCTTCATATTTGTATCTCTGTATCTGTAGAGTAGAGAGGGCGAGTTAAGTTTCACAGCACTTAGGCCACAATTGACCCATTGTGCATCCTCCAGAGAGCTGTCGCCCTTAGTTCATGATCAATCCTGCTCTTTCTAGGAAGTTGGACAAGTCACCAGGAGACATCTCTCTTATGTGGGCAGGTGTGGGACAGGGATCGCCGAACGCGTACTCTCGTATTCACGATAACTCCGGGCATTCACGTAGGACATGCTCTACTGTTTCGTCTTATCGTTCACACTATCTACATAGAGGTGTGTTTGCTAGCCCCAGTGTGTGGTGTTTGCTAAGTTGACAATGACCAGTTAAAAAACCCACTGTCAAGCGTAGGTTTTTCTTGGTCATTTCCAAGTACTTCTTTGTTTCTGACTCTTCAAGGTTTCTTAGTATTACCCTGCCAAGTTTACATCCTTGTCCTTGTTCCCATCTTTTTACGGTTTTCGTATGGGAGTGACATTTGACAATGTCCGCGATTGTTGCAGTTGACCAACCAATAAGATCTCCAAGTTTACATCCTTGTCCTTGTTCCCATCTTTTTACGGTTTTCGTATGGGAGTGACATTTGACAATGTCCGCGATTGTTGCAGTTGACCAACCAATAAGATCTCCACGTCCTAAGAGTCTTAGGGCTGCCGCTTTTCTAGCCAATTGGTCAGCAATGCGGTTGCCTTTATTCCTATTGTGTCCTTTAACCCACCTCAAAATAATGGTATTACCATCCGAAGCTTGAGTTAGTGACTCGTGACACTCCATTACTAACCCTGATGTGACACGTGGTCTATTCAAGATTAGTAGCGCTTGTCTGCCATCTGTGTAGATCATTATAGTTTTCCCTGCTATACCTTTTTGGATTATCTCTTTTGCGGCTATGGATATACCAGCCAGTTCTGTCTGAACTACGCTGGCATTTTTGCCCATACCCCACTTCATTCTCAGGTTCAGTGATCTGGAGTATGTCCCGCATCCTGAGCCTTCTTTCATTTTGAAGCCATCGGTCTATATGCAATAGGCATTTGCCACGTTTGTCTCCCTATACTGTCTTGTTTCGATTTTGTAGGGTTTGTTAAAGACAAGCTTTGATTCAATTGAGTCGCAGCCTGCTTGTAGCAGTGGTAGCGCATCCAGCTCTCCCCGCCAGAAACGAGTTCTCAATTGTTCCATTCCTACATCAACGTTTGCACTAGCTGAGCGCGGTCGCATCATTGTCACTAGCGCCACCTCTTTGACATATATATCTAGAGGCGCGATGCCAATGATCAACTCCATTGCAGCAGTTGGTGTTGTTTTCATGGCAATTGTTATATTTATGCAAGCCATCCTCTGAATATGGTTTAGTTTGTTTATCGCTGTTGCCTGTAGCACTTTTGGTACCCAAGCAATAGCTCCGTACGTTAGCATTGGCCTAATGACAGCAGTGTAGACCCAGGCGATCATCCTGGGTGAAAGGCCCAACTGTTCGTCGACACTACTCATAGGCAATATATGCTCCTGAGCCTTCTCATAGGCAATACATGCTCTTTTAGCTCTACCATCTAAGTGTGAGTTCCATATTAACTTCCTGTCAAGGGTAATACCAAGTTACTTCATCTCGTCAAAAAAATTTATAGTGTAGTTTAGAATCCTTGGGGGTATTAAGCCTGTTAGTGATTCTTCTTTTCCTAGTAAAGAGGACCATCTTTGTTTTCTTAGGATTTATAGATAGTGAGTGTTCCTTGCAAAATGTTTCTATTAGTCGGAGAGCAACTTGTAATCTCTCACATAGTGTGTTCTCAAACTTACCGCTTTGCAGGACATCAATATCGTCTGCATAGGCTATTGTGTAGAAACCGTTGCTGCTGAGTTAGTCAATCAACTATGTTCCAGAGGAGTGGTGATAGCACCCCTACCTGTGGATACCCCCTCGTAACCATGCCACTATATATGCGCGTCTGCACATTTGCGCGGCAAAATAAACTACATACTTGCATACGGTAGAAAAAATTTTCCCAATCTCAAGGGACTCATCCTTTTCTAAGCTATAGATGGAAACCGATAATGAGAACTCATCTACATTGACTATAAACTACATGTGCATTGTTATCATTTATTTATTTATGCTCTTGCATATTTTCTTCCAAATTTTAATACAATTCTCAAAAATTCCTTTTTTGTAGGGCTCCAACCGCTGGTCGGCGAGATGCACAATCGGAATACAGTTGTCCACCGTCTTACAGATCTCAGAGTACCAGGCCGGGTACTTTACAACCCAACTCAGTACTTCATAGTAGGGAACAATCTTTAAGCCTTTCAGAGTCGAATCACGGAGGATCGATGGTCAACGTAGTCAATATTTTAGGTGAGTAATATAAATTTACATGAATACATATTTAATTCCTCTATTTGCTCTGTTTTTTACAGTGTAATTTTACAGCGTATTCATTTGCCACATTTTATATGTTTACGTTTTATCTAATACAAGGTTTTAAATGATTTTTGACTCAAAAACTTTTTTTATTTAAAGTTGGAATTTCTTTTAAAATGGAAAAAACTTTTATTCATATATTTCTCCTTCCTTCTTTCTTGTATGGTTTTGTTTCATTCTTCACGTATACGCTGGAAGATCTCCAATTACGGCATATTTTTTTTTAATTTCTCGATGAGGCACATTGGAACGAATCACGAAAGACTTTTCCTTCTTATTGCGCCATCTCCTTTCGAAGGTTGGCGATCCAAATGGCAATTCTAGCTTTGGAAACTGTTTCACGAAAGATTTCTGTGGATGAGCGGTTAAACCATCTCCTCTCTTCAGGTCTTTCAACCACGAGTTTTGGCGTCTTTTAACTGATCTTTTGCCCTGCTCTTTCATATCTTTCACCTCTTAACACATGATAAGTATTGTATATTTCTCTTTTTGATTATTCTGAGTAATTCTTTTTGTTTACTCATGAGCCGAAGTACCTTACCATTGGTAACTTTTTGTATCCATGAAATTTTCAGCATCCGTCTGTATATGTACATTCTATAGGCATCTATTCTTTTTCTTCAGAGTCCATTGTCTAACTTATGGAAAGACTATCCATTTTTAATGCTACAATCGGAACGGTGTATACGGTTTTTATTTACTGGCAGAAAGTAGTTCATTTTCTCAAGAAGGAAGCAAACTAGGCTGTTATTTAGAAAATGTTCTAGGGTGCGCTGCTTGGCAGAGTAATCATTAGATAATCTCCATATTGTCTCAGTATCAGTGTTATATCCACAATACCTTTATCTATCAGATGAACAAGTTGTCTTTGGGACAGTGTACTATTCGGACAATACAGCCCTGATGGTAGAGGATAAAGACGACATGCAAAAACAACTTCGTAGATTCTAACAAATATGGCGTTGGCTGATCATGAACATATCCACGCAGGAAATGAATAGCATTATTATAGTTAAAGATTAAATTAAAGTAATCTTGTAGTGGAGAACGAACCCAAAGAACAGCTCAACCAATTCAAATACCTTGACTTAGATTTAAAGGGGCAGATAAATAAGGCTGCAGTCATGTTTGGATGTTTAAGAGATGTTGTCTGTATTGAGGCAGAACACATTTTTTGAATAAAAAACTTTCTTTTTTATTATTTTTCGGTCATTGAGCATAAAGTTCAGATGAAAGAAATACAGAAGAAACTTTGATTTTTGTTTGTCAATCCCCTCAATCTTTTATTTGGTTTTTGGTCTTTTTTAAATAAATTTTTTTGTTTCTTTGTCAATAGAACCACAGAAGACTATAAAAGCTGAAAATCTTATTCATCTTTATTTTATTATTTTTTTGTTTTCGAGCATGGTTTGCGTGTCGCCAGCAATGTTCAATGTATAATCTTAATTGATCTAATTAATTGATATTTTCTTGACAAATCCTAACTAATACACTGAAAATGTACTCTAAATTTTGAGATAATAAAATTTTTTTTCTTTATTTATAAATAAAAAAGATACTAAAAGAAGAAACTTTATGAATTTTTAGGTAGCACTGAGGAAGATATAGCCCTAGACAACATTACGTTAGACTCATTGAAGATGGAGCCCGAGCACGACCTGAACCCTATTAAGATGCTGCTGAAAGGCAGCTCCAATGAACTAGAAGGCAGCAAAGACGGCAATCTCGTCACTATTGTACAAACCAGTGATCAGAGCCCAGTGATAGTGACAGTTAGCGGTAGTTCGCAGATAGATAATAGTAGTAATGTTCAAATTACCGAAATACCTTCAGAAATGGAAATACTAGCACATTTATAGTGTATATAATGACAGAATTTAAATTTTAAACAGATAGTTTTTTGAAATTAGTCATGTTGTTGAAGAATATAAGATCTGTTAAATAACACTAATTGGTAAGAAATATATTTACTGATATTTTGTGACACATAGGACTATTTATCCTAAATGAGACTATTTGATACCAAAAAATTCTAACGTATTATTTCACTTAAGATAGTCAATGTCTTATGCTTGTTCTTACTTTTCTGCTAATGACCACAAAGTAGTTTTAATACTAGAAATAGGAAAGTTCATAATTTAAATATGTGCAACTATTGTAGCAACAACTTTAAACAGCAGCATAGTCTTCCTTTAGAACTATACATTGTTTTCAACACTCCTCTAACAATATAATGATTTTTCTTCGAACTATTTCTCTTAGGACTCAAAAGATGTTTCAGTTTACACAAGAGCCTCGTTAATTGGGTCTAAATTTTTTTCTCTGGGGCATTCTTTTGATAAATGCAAATAAAAGCAATCTTCGAGAGAATTTAATACGAAGATACACAGTAAATACACCGGATAAATATTGTATCCGTTAGTGTTCGGACTTCGAAGGGGAGATGGCAGGGATGCGTGAACGAACTCTACTACTATGCCATTCAATTTTAATTTAGGCCAAAAAGAAGTTGTGAGCACAATTGTGAAATTTGGACAACGAAAACTTTCAGCATCATTTGTGCCTTTAGGGCAACGTTTTAAATCTGCGTACCAGTGTAATGGGTTTTCCTTACTCTAAAATACGTTTTACTGTATTTTGGATTTTCTTCCTCTCTGTTGTGGGTTCGTGTTTGTGTGGGAAAAATGAAAAGGACGGAGAATCTAGTTAACGACTGCATATCGGCTTCAGAGTCATAAGACATTCGGCGCAAGTTGAACACGTTAAACGGCTTCGTCTGCGGACTCTGGCGCCGGCCTAGGTATCTGGTAGTTGCTGGTAGTTCAGCATACTATAAGGTTCTTTTGTTGCAACTGTCAATAGAGCAAGCAGTTTAATTAAACCCAGTCTGTGATACATGTTCACCCCTCGGACTTACGTTTGGGTGTAACAATTCATTGCAGCGAGGTGTATTAACTCAAGTTAAAAACAGGAGCCACTTCACCGCGCTCCAATGCTTCAGACGATCCCGTTCCCCCCTATAGCACTTTGATGCGCGATAGGGGCACAACTGTCAGCCAAATGATCTTAATGTGGGAGTCCTGGGTAATAGAATTCTCTTGCTCCTTATTTATTATACTCTTGGTTAATCTAGCGGTCGTAGTAGGAGGGAAATGAGAAGAAGGTCCGAAAGAAACTGTACGCGTTAGCCACTTGTGATGTAGTAGCTATTGAAACATTTATTCATTACTGTGACGAAATAAAGTCCGAAGAAAACATTCTGCTTTACTTATGCAGTATTTTTCTCAACACAAAGCAATTTTAGATCAATATATGACAAAATGACTTTATTGTTTTAAAAACGGCAATAACATCGTTACTTGAACCACTGTAAATTATAAACTAATCATGCGATTTAGCTCAAATGTTGACAGATGACGTTTGAAAGTTTGTACGATGTTGTTTTATTTTAGCGACGCCGTATTATATATGTAAGGCCTGGAGAGTTATTGAGTGGTATGGTAGATACAAATAAATATTTTCAGCAAATGTGTTACAAAAATTCAGTAAATATGTGATGTACAGAAAATATCTATAGAGATACCTCATCTCATTGTTAATTATATGCCACGTTTTACTTTTTATTTGACAATTAATACTTCATACGGAAATAATAAAGAGTTATGTGGAAAACGTTAATCATATGAAGACATCAACAGACAATGAATTTATTTTTATTTTTATGTTTCTACAGAGTTACTTGTTTGAATCCAAAAACTTTCTTATAATTTATTGATCTTCTGATATTTATTTTTCTTCTTTCTAATATTTCAAGGTCTAATAACAAAAAACTATGTCCTTTTCTCTTAAATCAATAAAATTAAATAATATTGCCTCATTTCTGCGCAATCACGGTTGAGAAACTCAGTTCTTTGCATCTATATAAATTATAATATGCAGCAATAACTACAATGGGCAGCAGGTCTCCCCACTGGGTTAATAATCTCCTACTGGATCAGAATGCATTCTATTCTCTCTCCTATAATAATTTTTTCTGAAGTATCCATTATTTAGCCAAACTTTTTGACAAAATATCGTTAATATATTCCCTTAGGTGAACCAGAGGTCTTCGTATCCAATGTATACAAATTTTTGGTCGGTACAACCAGTATTGGCAGCATTAAATAGTCGGTCAAGGATTTAAAGCAAGGTGAACACGGGATTTTACTATCAAAACAAATTCTCGTGTCCTTTAGGTACTCTACAAATAATACAAACTGATTGTGATTTAATAGAAAATGAGCTTCTGCAAATATATTTTTTGTTCATACTATGTTTTGTTCGATATTTGAGCCAAATCAGACGGTTTCAGAACCTAAATCACACAAGGAGAAAAAAAAGGAGAATTTTTAACCAAATTTCCCACATAACGAAATAGATATGCTACCCAACGTCACCTTTGATGTCTGTGTGACTGGGAATAATGACTTTCAGCTGGCGCTGAAATAGTTGAAAATACCCTTACCTTTAAAAAAATCTGTAATTCAGTACTTCAATATTTTAGTGGTTTTTACGTGGTGAAGTGTCTGGGAAATTTTATTAGGAATACTGTCTTTTTACCTTCGAGTCTATCTTCGTTTCTACAACTACTTGATGAGGCTCAATAACAGCTGTCGCAGTGTGGGCAAATAACAGACTTTCAGAGGAAAAATACAGCCTTTTGCCCTCTGTCTCTATGCGCCACCATCTATAAACTGAGTTTTCTTTGTTTTTTTTTTTTAGTTTACACTTTGTGCTTTTAAGATTGTCTTTATCTTGTATAATGTTAAGTATGTTTTTTAAATAATAATCGTGCCTCGTCTAAGAAGAGTATTGGACATTTTTATTAATAAATAGATAACAAAGAAGAGGTTGAGTTTACTAAAAGTACAAGCTGAAGATAGCAGCAAATGTCCCAAAATATTTCGATTTGGCAGTGTTGGCATGTTTTTAAAATGCATATGTTGCATGCTTCAAATATAAAGAGATAAACTTTTAAAAAGTACATTTTGATTATACTATTTATGAATTTTGCAATTTTTAATTTATATGAAGCAATAACGAGTAGACAATATAGGATATATAGGACAATATAGGATAAGAACTAATAAAGAGCTTGAAGAACTTTACCCAGACACCAACATCATAAAAGAAATAAAGTCCAGAAGACTCCAATGGGCAGGACACCTCAGAAGACATTCTGATGAACGAACAGTAAGACTGGTGTGGGAGGAAGTCCCAACTGGAAGGAGACCACGCGGACGCCCTCGTCTTCGGTGGCGAGATAATATAGCAGGAGACCTAAGCACTATGGACGTAGAGAATTGGATGGAGGTTGCTCAAGATAGAAAACAGTGGAGGCATGTTGTCGAGTCGGCTAAAACCCACGAAGGGTTGTAACGCCACGGAGTAGAGTAATAACGAGTAGATATTTGTCTCTTTCGAGATTAATTGCAAACATCTTTTGTAATCTGGCAACTGCTGATTTGACGATTGCCAAATCTATCTCCTAATCTATCAAAGGGTAGTTGCTAAAAAAATTTCAAATACTTAACTGCAATTAATCTCCAAAGAAACAAACATTTACTCAGTGTTGTTTTATATAAATCAAAAATTGCAGAATTAATAACGTAATGTAAACAATATGTACTTTTCTAAAGCTTTATCTTTTTATATTTGAAGTATATAGCATGTACATTATAAAAACATGCCAACACTGCTATACCGAAATTTTTTTTTCATGTTTGACATTTGCGGCTATATTCAGCTTGTACTTTCGGTAAACTCAACCCAAAGAAGAATATTAAATTCCTGAATGCTATCTCTTCAATGTTCAGATCCTTCTGAAATATTTTATGTAGTAATCACCTATATATCGATTGGTAGAAAGACATAAAAACAACAGTTTTATTTTTTCCGTATGAGATATTTGGTTTATAAATAGAATATTTCTGAAATAGTAACGATGTGATGAAGATAACTAGAAAAAATAAAATATTGATAAAATTCTTATAAAAAAACTACATTTAAAAAAGCAAAATGTTTACATGCTCAAGTTTTCTGTTGAACAAGAATAATCATATTGATGAGTTTCTGATTTTTCATAGTTTGTTTTTGGGATTTATTGTCAAATGCTTTTCTGGGGTTGACAAAGAGTATTTAAGTATAGTTATTGATCCTCAGGTCACATGTAAAATGATTAGAACTGAGCATTTATTTTGCTGTTTTTTTTTAATTTATCGTCTCTATCGTCAAGATTTCTACTATTCTTCTTATTCTTGTGTATTTTCACAGCGATTTGACAAATGTCGGTTGACAGATGATATACTATACAGATGACAAATGACATAATGATTTAACTAACATCTTTGCTCATTTTAATGATGAATGTTGATAAATGAAAGATGTACGAAACGATACATACTGTATATATGATAACTAGATCGACATCACCTTCTTTTCATGATTAATGTTCACAAATGACAGCTTGAATTAATCAACTATTACTTAGTTCCATCTTTATCCACAGTTTTCTCAACGTTTAGTTACTTATTATTATTCTTCTGGAATGGTTTATATTGATAAATATTTAACAACTCATTTTATATATACAGTTTCTTTTATCTAAATTTACATTTTAAGATAACAAATGGCACATATGATACAAGATATAGATGGAAAATAGCAGATAACGAACTAGTAAGACCAATCTTCGCCCTTTTCAACATTAATATTAATAAATGATATAGATTATAGCTGATCAGGTAACTAAATATGTCTCATCTCCATTTCATAATAAATGTTGGCAACTGACAGCCTAAACAAACCAACCCATGTTTTT